TTATTATCTTTTTTTTTTCTAATTAATTTGTTTCTCTTTTATTAAAAATTGTTGCACTCATCCGAAGCAATGTTTTCTTTTCTCTGTCAATGAAAATTGTGAAACTCAGAGATCCCCAACATGCATCATCTTCTCTTCTTGAATTGGAGAAAAAGAAGAAGAAGCAAACACTCATATTCATCCAAACGAAGATTGACAGCTAAAAAAAATGAAGGAAACAAAAATATCTCAATAGATTGGCAATTAATGTTACTCTAATAATAGGAGATTATAACTAAATTGTAGGTTGAATATGCACTAATTGACATTATTATAACTTTATTTTGTGAATCGGGAAATAATGAGGTGAATGTACGGGGAGAAATAAATTTAAAAAAAAATTGATGGGTGACTTTTGAAGACTTTATTAAGTTGACTTTGAAAGAGAGAATAACTAATTTTGTACCACGAGTGCGCACAAAGGTATTATTTCTATATTTAATAGTTTCTATATCAGCTACATACATCAGTTACAATTCTTATCGGTCATTTTTTAAATGGATGAATTTAGACATCTTTTGGTGTTCAATTAACCCATGAGAGAGACTAATATTACTCTTTGTTATTAAAATATATTGGGGGATATTACCACAATTTTACTTTTTTTTTTTATATAAGATATTTTAAGTAATAAAATTATAAATTTGTTGTATGTATGTAATTTTTTAGACATTTCAATAACAGTAAGATGGACACTTTTAGAGATTGTTAGTATTTGACTTGATAAATAAATTTCCAAATTAAAAAATTTAATAGTTTAAATTTAGTATTGGATACATAACGTTGGTTTTAATTACATTCTAAAATTAGTTTAATATTTCATAAATCTGGAGAAAAGGTAGGTGGAGCCCGTTTCTAGTGCAGGCATGCACCATTGACATGCATGCCATGGATGGTGGGGAACAATCATCCCGGTGTCGTTGTGTTTTGGGAGCTACGGTTACAATGACATTGTTACGTTGTTTATAATCCCGGTGTTGCTATGTGAGATATGGCAGTCCAGCGCCGCGTCGTGATGGCCATCGTGCTGTTAATTGGAAGCAGTATATTTGACAAACAAATAAATATCCGGAGTATCGGGTTAACGATTCACAGGGAAGTGGGACGTATCAAGCACTAACTACTAATCTATTCACGAGAAGCTAATCCTAACAAAAAGGGTGATTGATTGATTGTAAAAGTAAAACTAATTAAAAGAGAACAAGGTAGCAGGTTGATGAAACCAATATAGAAAGAGTGCGATTTCTGGAGTTCAAGTGCTTAATCACCTAGTTCCAATCTAAAGTGCAACATTTAATTTGGGTCCAAACAAGTGTGGGAATGCATATAAGAGAAGGAATTACTCCCGTAATTCCAACCTAAAATAATGCGAGTGAATATTATATTCATTCCCATGATATAAACACTCAACAATTCAAGAACAAACATTCCAGATAACTCCTTAACAAACATGCCCTATCCCAAGGTGCAATAGTCAAATGCAATTGCGGGTGCTCTAAATTATGCCCTAACTCCCATTAACACATAAAGATAGCAATGAAACGAGTAATTTAGGCCTTTATACTAGCATCAACAAAATATAGAACAAAATTGCAACACAAGCTATAAAACCAAAATGTAAATATATTAATGAATTTAAGAACTAGGCACATAGGTTCATAAACACTTTCACCCAAAAATCCTTAAGTTGTTTTAGTCACTCATGGTTAGAATAACATTCATATCAATTGTATAAGAGAGTTTACAAGAAACAAATAAAGTAAAAGAAAAGGGAAAGAGATTCACCTGAATCCTCATAGCTTTTCTTCCTTCTTCCAAGGTAACTTGTGGCTCTTGATATCTCTCACTCTTTTTGTCTCCAAAATGGATGTGGAAATTGTTGATGAAACTAGACATGTTGCGGCATCGGTATTCGAACTACATACATAGTTATTGTTATACTATCAGGTAAACAAGTTATGAAAATAGAACAAAAGGTACTACTCATGAACCTTCTACAAAAATAATAAATATTAATAATTTATTCAATACATCCACATGAAATATGTAAGGGAAAAACTACATACCACTGCAAAATATCAACAGGTACCTTGCAAGATTAAGAGTTCATAATACAATTAAGATCCAAGTAATACACACAACAAGACAAATCCACAGCTTCCTACACCATAATCTCATTACATGACACTATAATTTATGCTATCACCACTAGCCCAATTGTAAATGGCACACTACCATACCAACGAAAAAGATGAGGAAAAATAGTGAACATGAAGACAATGATAATGTTATCCAAAAGAGAATTAAGAAGACTTAGAGAAATTCAAACCAAAAGTAGTATTTATTTAGACTATCATGTTTAGACTGAGTATTTAGACTATCAATTTTACAAAATTGCAAACATTTATTTTAGTGACAATTACAATGAATCTCATATATTATCTTGCATTCATATACTTTGAATTACCTATTTAAATAAATAAATTCGACATTCAATTACATATATATGAACTTATACTATATAATCTTGCATTGATATACTTTAAAATACTTATTTAAATATAAACATTGAGAATTAGTCCATTCGCGCAATGCGCGTGTAAAACTAGTATACATATATAAGCATTAGTCGATGGGCATGGTCAAAATGTCAAAGTCAGCGGATCCGCATGATACATAGATACATAGATAACCAAACACACCCTATATGCCAAACAAATTCAATAGATATATAGCTAGCTTCAATTTCCAGATTTGTTTAAAATATATTTTTAAAAACGTAAAAACACACATTCCCATGATACATCATAAAAGGCACTCTCCAGTAGCGCTAGTCTCACTTTGCACGCACGCGCTGCGCACTGACAACTAAGATAAATGTTTACAAAATTTCAACGAAGAAGGGGAAATGGAAGGAGACAGTACCCGACAGTAATACCCAAGGTGATGTAAACAACAATATAATATAATGTGGTTGAAATCATAGCTCCCAAAACCCTGATGCTGCTGGTAACCCTCATCGACGTTTTACTTTCAGACGTCTCGATCTAATTTGTATGAATTCACCTTTGAGGAAAAATACAGAAATTAAATTACATCATCTTGAATATAAAGGAATTTGAAGAATGAAAAGTAGAATAGGAGATCGAGATTCACTAAATTTATAGTGATTATATATTGTAACGTTTTATTCAACATACAAATTTATTAAAATTTGCTTTATTTTTATTAAGTTTGTACTGTAAGGGTGTGTTTGGAAACTTAGAAAATGATTTTTAGAAATAATTTTTCAGGTTTCCCACGTTTGGATCTGCCTAGAAATCTTATATCCGTTGACTTTGGAAAATAGGCTTCTTTTGGAGGAAAATGACTTCCCCTTTTTTTTGGGAAGTCATTTTCCAACTTTTACACCAAGATCACACCACCACCACTACTACCACCAACATCATTCCACCACCACCACACTACTATCATCACCACCACCACCAGTACAAGACCACACTACCACCACCGCCGCTACCATCACCATCAACATACCACCGCAACAACCGCCACCACACCACCACCACCACCAACACCATCAACACCAAACCACCACCACCTCACTACCACCATCACCACCACCACCAGTACAAGACCACACTACCACCATCGCCGCCGCCACCCCTGCCACCACCACCATCACCGCCACCACCGCCACCGTCGTCATACCGCCACCAGTCATTATTATTATTATTATTATTATTATTATTATTATTATTATTATTATTATTATTATTATTATATAACAAATAATACCACTACCACTATTACACCACCACCACCACTACGCACCACCACCACTACTATACCTCTTATTATTATTATTATTATTATTATTATTATTATTATTATTATTATTATTATTATTATTATTATTATTATATAACAAATAATACCACTACCACTACTACTACACCACCACCACCACCATACCACCACTACTATACCACTTATTATTATTATTGTTATTATTATTATTATTATTGTTATTATTATTATTATTATTATTATTTTGTTGTTGTTGTTGTTTTGAATTACAAGACTTTGGTGAGTTATTTTGATATCTTATTAGTTATTTTTTATTATATTTAAAATTATTATATTATTACATATTATTATACATGTTGTAATATTCTAAATAAAATAATTAAAATGTTTAATTAAAGAAGTCTACTCATTTTCCATAAAATGAACAAAGCACACCAAGACAGTTTTCCATAATGCAACCAAACACTGAAAATGAAAATATTTTCTGAAAAATGACTCGTTTTCCAAAAAAACATTTTTCAGAAGTCATTTTCCTATGCTCTCTTAACATTTCTATCCAAGTGACTTAGGTAAATGAAGTAAAATTGTTGAATGTATCAACAATCTCAAATTTATACCTTTTTTCAATTTATTATTTTTATTAAGTGTTCGTTCTATTTCCATTTTAATTCGTGATATATGTATGGTCAATTTTATTCTCTTTATTTCTTCTTCTCCCGATTTTCTCTTTATTTTTACCTATGATAAATGTGTAAGATATTTTAAGTAATGAAATTATAAATGTATGTTGTTAAATTAATGAAAATCTTTTTTTTTTTTTTAGATATTTCAATAATGGTATGGACAAATTTAGGGATGGTGAGTAATTGACTTGATAAGTTAATTTCCAAATTAAGACTTAATTGTTAGAGTTATTATTATTATTGTTAGTTTATCATATGTAGCATAGTTTATAATTGTGTGGTCATAGAATTACTCTTAGATAGTTAGCCTATTAGTCATGAGTGTTTAGTGGTGTGTTATGATATACTCTCCTGTAATCTCTTTGATTGTAACTGAATGATAAATTCTCTCTAATCTGGTATCAGCCTTACCGATCCTTTTGATCGCTTCCTTTCCGCAAAACCTCCCAAAACCACCGCCAAACCGCCATGTCTTTCAATTCTTCCGAGAGAACAATCTCCGCCGCAGGTGGCTCTTCCCCGACTGGCACAAATCCGCTCACCGGCGCCCACCACTTCATCTCTATGAAGTTAACAAGTAGGAACTTTCTTTTTTGGCGCACCCAGCTTCTTCCATTCTTGCGTGGGCAAGACCTCATCGGGTTCGTTGACGGCAGCACGCCCTATCCTCCTCCGACCGTCGCTGCAACTCCTTCCGGCGAGTCGAGCTCCGGCGCTACCACGGCTGACACTATCCGCAATCTGGCACACAAGTTGTGGGTTCAACAGGATCAATCGATCCTCTCCCTTCTCATATACTCGATGTCCGACGAAGTCCTCCACCTCGCAGTTGGCCAGAACACCGCCGCGGAGGTTTGGCATTCCATCTGCATGGTGGTAGGGTCCAACACCCAGGCGCGATGTCTCAATCTGCTAGGACAGTTCCAGTCCCTCCGGCAAAGGAATGCGACGCCGGTGGACTACCTTGGTCGGGCAAAGCTTCTTGTTGAGGCGCTCGCCCAGGCCGGCCAACCTCTCTCCCTTGTAGAACAGACTCTGTATGTCCTGAGGGGTCTTCGTCCGGAGTACAGAATGTATGCTGCCTCCCTGACTGCCAACTCTCCGGTGACCCACCCGCAGATGGCAGATTATCTCCAGGCTGCCGATTTTATTCTGGCCGACGACTACCCAACAGCGGCAGATGGTGGTCATGATGGCTCGCATACCGCGCTCTATGCTGGTCGTGGGCATGGTGGAAGTAGCAGCTCTCATGTTGAAGGTGGCCGGCGTGGTGGTCGCTGTAGTCGTAACAGCAATCAGGGACGTGGTGGCCTTGGCGGAATAGGTGCACCAATGTGTCAGATTTGCCGCTCACACGGTCATACAGCAGTTTACTGCTTCAAACGATACTCTACTCAACCTCCGGCTCAAGCCAATGTGGCAGTTTCCGGCGACCACAAGGTGGCGCCCGTCCCTTCGCCGAATGCATGGTATCCCGACACCGGCGCCACGGCCCCTGCCACGCCCGACGCCAGCATGTTGAATAGCTCGGACGACTATGGAGGCTCGGACACGCTCCGGGTTGGAAATGGTACAGGTCTGGCTATCTCGCGGATTGGCCTTGCATCTATCCCATCCGTGTCAAAACAATTATTCATGTCTAATGTGTTGCACGTTCCTAAATTAACCGTTCCATTATTATCTGTCCAAAAATTCGCTAATGATAATCAAGTTTATTTTGAGTTTCATGACAGTTGCTTTCTTGTGAAGGATTCCAAAACCAAGGCCACACTTCTTAAGGGTCCTATCTCGGGCGGTCTGTACCAGCTACCTGTGTCACGATGTCACTTTGCGTTTGTTAGTTCCCGTGCTAAACCGGCAGGAAGGCATCGCAGGCTTGGTCACCCACACAGTCTAGTTCAAAATAAAGTCCTCCAGAATTACCCAGTTCAGCCAAATAATGCCAAAGATTTGGGGTCGTGCACAGCTTGCCATCTCGACAAGTCCTCTTGATTCAAGCTAGATAGGATTGATAATTCTAGCCACAATGTACTAGATCTTCTATATATTGATATCTGGGGCCCTGCCCCTATAGTGTCGTCTAGTGGCTCTCATTATTTCCTATTGTTTGTTGATGATTTCACGCGCTTCACCTGGTTTTATCCATTAAGGGTAAAATCAGATATTTATAAAAATTTTGACTCGTTTCGTGTGTTGGTAGAGCGGCAGTCTTCGCGCTCTATCAAGTTAATACAGTCAGATTTAGGGGGTGAATATCGCAAATTACACGTCACGTTTCAGTCCTTGGGTATTAATCATCGGCAGTCGTGTGCGTACACACATGAACAAAATGGAAGAGTTAAGCGCCGTAACAGACATATTGTTGAAACAAGCTTAGCTCTTCTCGCTCAAGGCTCCGTCCCACAACAGTATTGGTACTACGCCTTTGAGACTGCCACGTGTCTAATCAACTATCTCCCTACCTCTGTCTTAAAGTTTGAAAGTCCATATTCCCGTCTCTACAAAAAATTCCCACCATATCAGTTCCTTCGGGTCTTCGGGTGCCGATGTTACCCTTATCTTCGGCCTTACGATCGGCACAAGATGGAATATCGGTCCACCTCGTGTGTCTTCCTAGGTTACCCACCGTCCTATAGGGGATACAGATGCTTGGATCCAATCAGTGGGAAAATCTATATCTGTCGCCACGTGCGGTTTGACGAATGTGTCTTTCCTTTTGAAACAGGATCATTACAGCAGGAACCATCACCTGCTCTGCTACCCTGGGCGTCAGCACCCATTATATCTGTGTAACCGCGGTCGCTTGTACAAAATCTGGGGCCTATACCGGTCACTGAGCCCGTCCCGCTGGCTCAAGAAACGCCACACTTGGCCATTGAGCCCGTCACCCCTACACTGGCTCGGAAACGGACTAACAGGGTGCAGCCTCAGGACCGAGCCCATGTCATGCGTCTTCGGCACATGACTCGGGGCACTAATGAAGAATTCCAGGCCCTAACAGCGACAACTGATCCAACGTGCTACTCCCAAGCTGTGGGGCACCCGCAATGGCGTGATGCAATGGATCAAGAGTTCAATGATCTCCTTCATAACAACACTTGGCATTTGGTGCCTCCGGATCCTACCATGAACATCATTGGATGTAAATGGGTCTTCCGTACCAAACGTACTGCTGACGGCTCGGTTGACCGATACAAGGCACGCCTAGTAGCCAAAGGTTTTAATCATGTCGTAGGAGAGGACTTCTTCGACACTTTTAGCCCTGTAGTCAAGCCCACTACGGTCCGCATCTTATTCTCGTTGGCTGTGTCAAACAAATGGACACTGCGGCAGTTGGATGTCCACAACGCCTTCCTCAGCGGTCACTTGGCCAAAACAATGTACATGAAACAGCCACTGGGATACGAAGACCCGGCTCATCCCGGCCACGTCTGCCTCTTGCAACGCTCACTCTATGGGCTCCAGCAAGCTCCTAGGGCGTGGTTTAAGAGGCTTCATGACTATTTATTGTCTGCAGGTTTCTCCTCGTCCAAAACTGATGTCTCGCTCTTTTACCACACCACAGGAGGCTCCAGAGTCTTTCTCCTTGTCTATGTGGATGACATCATAATGATGGGCAGTGACACCGAACTGGTCAACTCTCTGCTTCGTCGCCTGGCTTCCACCTTTAAAATTCGCGATATTGGCAAACCAGTGTTCTTTCTGGGCATTGAAACGGTGGATGTAGGTGATGGCATGGTTCTCCCACAGCAGCGTTACATGACTGACTTATTGGGTCGCTATGGGATGACAGACTGCAATCCCCTAGCTACACCAGCGTCTGTCACTCAAGCAGTTACTCCGTCGGATCAGCTGTTTGAGAATCCCACGCAATATCGCCGCGTGGTAGGCGCGCTTCAGTATCTGACTATCACCCGGCCAGACCTCTCCTATGCAGTCAACCGCCTGTGCCAGTTTATGCACTCGCCCTCTGTTGATCACTGGGCGATGGTAAAGCGCGTGTTACGCTACATCAAGGGTACCCTGCATTACGGCCTACGGTTATCCCCCTCTCCTACCACTGCCATACATGCCTACTCGGATTCCGACTGGGCCGGTTGCCCGATTGACAAGAAAAGCACCAGTGGCTATGTTGTTTTTGTGGGGGACAATCTCATTTCTTGGCTCTCTCGGAAACAGCGTACCGTTGCCCGCTCTTCTACTGATGCAGAGTATAAGGCGCTAGCTGATGTTGCAGCTGAGGTCACCTGGGTTGTCTCGTTGCTACGCGAGATAGGGTTGCATACTGGACAGCCATCCAGCCTATGGTGTGATAACTTAGGGGCCACGTATCTCTGCGCCAACCCGGTATTCCACGCTCGGACGAAGCACGTTGAGATGGACTATCATTTCGTTCGGGATAAGGTTGCCTCAGGAGACTTTGTGGTCAGCTTTATCTCAACCAAAGATCAGCTTGCCGATGTTTTCACTAAGCCGTTGCCTGGACCCCGGTTTACAGCTCTTCGTGACAAGCTCAATGTTGTGGATCACCAACCTTGTGTTTGAGGGGGTGTGTTAGTGTTATTATTATTATTATTATTATTATTATTATTATTATTATTATTATTATTATTATTATTATTATTATTATTATTATTATTATTATTTTATCATATGTAACATAGATTATAATTGTGTGGTCATAGAATTAGTCTTAGATAGTTAGTCTATTAGTCAGGAGTGTCTAGTGGTGTGTTATGATATACTCTCCTATAATCTCTTTAATTGTAACTGAATGACAAATTCTCTCTAATCTTAATTGTTTAGATTTAATACTAAATATATAACATTAGTTTTGATTACATTTAATATTTCATAAATCGGAGGTTTTGTTTACATTCTAAAATTATTTAACATTTCATAAATTCGGTGAAAAGGTGGGTGGTGCATGTGGCAAGTGTAGGCATGCACCATTGACACGCTAGGGATAGTGAGGAACAACTATCCTTATCATCATTTATGTAAAAAAAAAAAAAAAAAAAAAAAAAAAAAAAAAAAAAAAGATAGAAAAATGTAGTTCCAACACTGGCTCGCGCGCACGCGGTACGCACACACGTACAGTTAAGAGAAATTTAAATGTTACAGAATTCTGGGCTGGCCGGAATTGAGAAAGAAGGGGATGGAGAATTGAAGGAAAAAGATAGCCAAATGTAGTTCCAACACTGGGATTGAAACCAGGACCACCACCACCACCCTATGAAGCCTATGGCCGAAACTAGGAGGATTAAAACCACGATGCCCGCCCATCACCTGCTAGCAATTTTCAAGAAAATGCCCTGACGCGGCGGCGTTTGACTGCCATTTCCCACATAGCAACGTTGTACCGGGAATCCGGGATTGTAAACAACAATATAATGTCGTTGTCATCATAGCTCCGAACACCCTGCTGCTAGTAACCATCATCGCTGTTTTGCTTTAGGAAGTCTCGATTTAATTGCACATCGATCTGAGTAAAAACACAGAAAAGAGATTAGAGCAAGTGTCTTGAATATATAGGAATTTGACGAAAATAAAGTTGAATAGGATCAGATAAAACAAAATAATATTGTGTGTGCGTAGCGCGTGCGTGCAGACTGAAAACACAATCAAGTTAGATGGTCGGAGACATATGTGATTGAGAACACAATAATCCAGGTTGTCTGTTTTTGGTAGATGAAATAGCCGCCGCTGGGTGACCGTAAAGGGAACACGACCACCGTATGAGGAGTGGTTGTTGCATACATTCTTCAAATTGGACGACGGAGTTGAGTTGATGATCCACACTCGCCCTCCCCCGCCCAAGTCTCCGACGATCTAACTGGGTTGTGTTCTGCACGCGCTACGCACACACGTACAGTTAAGAGAAATTTAATTTTATAGAATTCTGGCCTGGCCGGAATTGAAAAGGAAGGGGATGGAGAAGTGAAGGAAAAAGATAGCTAAATGTAGTTCCAACACTGGGATTGAAACGAGGAGGATTAAAACCACGATGCCCGGCCATCACCTGCTAGCAATTGTCAAGAAAACGCCCTGACGCGGCGGCATTTGACTGCCATTTCCCATATAGCAACATCGTACCGGGATTGTAAACAACAATATAATGTCGCTGTCATCATAGCTTCGAACACCCTGCTGCTGGTAACCATCACCGCGGTTTTGCTTTAGGAAGTCTCGATTTAATTGCACGTCGATCTGAGTAAAAACACAGAAAAGTGATTAGAGCAAGTGTCTTGAATATATAGGAATTTGACAAAAATAAAGTTGAATAGGATCAGATGAACAAAATTATATTGTGTGTGCGTAGCGCGTGCGTGCGAACTGAGAACACAATCAAGTTAGATGGATGGAGACATATATGATTGAGAACACAATCATCTAGGTTGCATTTTCTGTTTCTGGTAGATAAAGTAGCTGCCGCTGGGTGACCGTAAAACGTCATCAGAAACGATAACAATTGGCAAGTCCAGGGAACACGACCACTGTATGAGGGAGTGGTTGTTGCATACATTAACTTGGTTGTGTTCTGCACGCGCTACGCACACACGTACAGTTAGGAGAAATTTAATTTTACAGAATTCCGGCCTCGCCGGAATTGAAAAGGAAGGGGATGGAGAATTGAAGGAAGAAGACAGCCAAATGGATAATAATGTCAGCTGTCATCATAGCTCCGAACACCCTGCTACTCGTAATCCTCATCGCCGTTTTGCTTTAGGAAGTCTCCCATTTAATTTGCACGTTGATCTGAGTAATAATACAGAAAAGAGATTAAAGCAAGCGTCTTGAATATATAGGAATTTGACGAAAGTAAAGTTGAATAGGATGAACAAAATTTGAGATCGAGATTTAGTAAATTTATATATTGTGATTATATAATTGTCACATTTTATATGATGGTGCTGCAATTTATTTTGTGTGATATCAGGTAAAGAGCTCATCAAGAAAGGTATGGTTGAAGCATGAAGATTGATATGTGT